TTGCGCAGCACCGCCCGGTCCCACCGCAGGTCGGTCTTGCAGCCCACCAGCAGCACCGGGACGCCCTTGCAGAAGTGGGTCACCTCCGGGTACCACTGCGGGGGGGGGACACATGTCACTCGGGGGACGGGGACACGGGACGGGCAGCAGCCCCGGCACCCCGCCACCCGCCACGGTGGGAGGACACGCGGGGGCAGGGGCAGCGGCAGCCCCCCCCGGGGGCTGCGTTACCTTGGTAAGGATGTTGTCGTAGCTGATGGGGTTGGTGACATCAAAGCAGATGAGGACAACGTTGGCGTCCGAGTAGGACAGTGGGCGAAGCCTGTCGTAGTCTTCCTGTCCTGCCGGGCGGAGAAGCAGACCATTACGCACCAGTTCCCTACCGGGCTGGGTCCCCCCCTCCCCAGCCTGGGACCACGTCTGCCCCTCCAGCCTGGGGGCACCGTGGGGCTTTGGGGACAGAAAGGCAGCACTGCTGAGAGTGACATCCTCGGGGACCGGTGGCTGGCCGGCTGCGGGTTAACCCCTCATCTCCCATGGTCGGTGCATGGGGACACCCCTCCAAGGCATGACCCATGGGTGTGGGACACCCCGAAACCCACAGGCTGGCGGGGGGGTGGGACATGGACACACACGACTGCCTGCCCCGTCCCCTCCTGTCCCACCTGCCGTGTCCCAGAGGTGGATCTTCACGGGCTTGCCGCCAACCTGGAGGGAGGCCGTGTACTTCTCGAACACGGTGGGGACGTAGACCTGGCAGGGGACAAGGGGGGGCATGAGACAGGTCCTGCCTCCCCATGGGCAGCGGTGGGGGGCAGCGGCGGAGGGGACCCCCGTGGGCATGTGTGCACAGGATAGGGCACGGGGAGGTACCCGGGGTCAGGAGAGGGAATTGGGGGGGCAGGAGATGGTGGTGCCTCCCCGGGGCAAGTGGGGTGGGGACGCTCCTTGTTGGCGCCGCCCCTTCTCCCCCACAGCCCCGGGACTGCGGCTCTCCCCAGCCCGCGGCTCTCCCCAGCCTCACGCAGGCAGGATGCCCCGGTGGGACCCGGGGGGCCCGGGAGAGAGGTGCTGGGGTCTCTGCGGGCTGCCCCCCCTCCCCACACTCCCCCGGGAACCGTACGTGCCCTCACTGCGGGACAGACCCCACTCCTCATCCTGCGACCCCCCCAGGGGAGGCAGAGGTGCCCATCCGCCCGCCTAGGGGCGGGCCCCG